ACGACCCACACCGGCGGGTCAGGAACCGATTTTAGGTTTTTGTCCATCCCACTTGAAGACTGCCGGGGGTCTGTTGGTAATCCCCCTTATGTATCTGGGAGCAGTTGAACGTCTGGGGCCTGACACTTATTGATGGTCTCTCAACGTCTAGTGACACCCCTTTTTTATGTTCATCGTCTGCCAAGTCTTTTGCTTTCGTATGAGTGTTTTTTTTGGGAAATTTTTGGTACTAGTCCCTCCGGATTTTCCAGGTGTAATAATCTGATCTCTCCCCCTGCGTTCCGGGAATACGGGTTTTAGGAACGGGTTTTAAAACCTCCCGTAATTGAGGTTTTTTATTTCCTTAGCGTCCCATAAAGGGTTCTCTGTACATTTTCTGGGTCAGCCAATTTACCTCCCTAAAAAGGTGCTGTTAGTGGCACAATATTCCACCTAATAAAACAAGTGCCCTGAAAGTGTCATCAGGTTGGAACCCCTATTTTTTTGAAGGTTCTCATTATGACCTGTCATTTTTTCTAGCAGATGCGATTGATACAAGTTACGGTCCTTAAAGGGTGAATCCCCGACTTGATCATCCCAGGTTTTTGACGGGGTTTTTCGCTCTATTTTGGGGCCCGAGTTTTTTTTGTACTCTGTGAAGATTTCATTTCCCGTGTTTCCCATATCTGATAATTAAAAAATTTCTCATCTTGAACTTCATATTGTTTTCTGCACCCACGAAAGATTCGGTTTGGGAAACAGGTTTGGGAACAGGTTTGAACACCTCCCAGAAATTTTGGGTGTTTTATCTCCTTTTTGCGTGCCATAAGGGTTCCCTTGTACTTTTTCTGGGTCAGAATTTCCCTCCCAAAAGGTTGTAGTGTGCAGAAATATTTCCAGCCTAGATAAAACAATGACCTGAAGAGTTCATATGGTTTGGGACCCTATTTTAAAGGGTTTCATTACGATCCTGTCTTTTTTCTAGCAGATGCGATTGATACAATGTTGGTCCTTAAAGGTGAGACCCTCCGATTGATCCCCCGGGTCTTTGACGGGGGTTTTTCGCTCTATTTTGTGGCCAATTTTTTTGTACTCTGATGAAGATTTCATTTCCTCGTTTTCCCATTTTGAGTAATTGAAATTTTATCGTTAAACTTCATTTTGTTTTTGCAGCCATGAAAGTTTGGGTTGAATTTGCCGGGACCCTTGCAGTGTCTGAATGGAAGACCTGTCATGCAGATTCGGGGTTCATCGCAAAGGAAGACACGGTGCGTGGTGACACCCTTGCTATGTCAGATTGAGGATGAGGAAAAGATGGGAGCGATATGTGTTTTGTGGAACAGAGCTTTTCAAAACCCTAGCTCCTCGACTTTTCTCGTTGACTACTACTCTCGGTTTTGTTTTTGGGAAATTTTAAATCCATCGACCCATTTTTCCCGTTTTCCTTTAGCACGCATTTTTTGCGCTTTACCCATGTCACACTTTCGAAGGCTTTTTCAAGGTCTGTTATATTACATCTGCATTCTTTTTGTCTTCTAGTGCATCAGGACCTTTTCAGTGATCCAATAGTTTAGACAGACAGGACGACCGTTCTAAACCCAGTTGCCCGGGTTGTGTAATTTATGGGGTTTTTAATGGGTGGGGATCTTGCTTCTTGGACCCTTTTAAAGTTTTAGATAGGGATTTAGTGCTATCGGTCGTGTTCTTTGCTATTTCTTTACTGCCCCCTTTGTGGAGTGGGGCTATGTCTGTTGTTTTTAGTAACTGTGGGACTACCCCCGTGTCCATGCTCCCTCTCCATAGGATGGTAAAAGCTCGTGATAGGGGCTTCTTGCAGTTCTTGATGAACACAGAGTTCCATGAGTCTGGCCCTGAGGCAGAGTGCATGGGCATGTCATTTATCGCCTGTTCGAAGTCATTTGGCGTCAGGATAATATCAGATAGGCTTGTGTTAACCAAATTCTGTGGCTCTCTCATAAAAAATTCATTTTGATCTTCGACTCTCAGTTTGGTTAGTGGCTTGCTAAAAACTGAGTCATATTGGGACTTGAGTAGCTCACTCATTTCCTTGCTGTCATCTGTGTAGGACCCATCTTGTTTAAGTAGGGGCCCAATACTGGACGTTGTTCTCGACTTTGATTTGGCATAGGAGAAAAAATACTTTGGGTTTTTTCGATTTCATTTATGGCTTTTAGTTCTTCCCGCGATTCCTGACTCCTATAAGATTCCTTTAGCTTAAGTTCGATGCTTGCTATTTCTCTGACCAGCGTCTCCCTACGCATTTCAGATATATTGACCTCTTTTAGCCGCTCTGTTATTCTTTTCCGTTGCCTGTAAAGGGAGCGCCTGTCTCTTTCTATTTTACATCTACTCCTCCTTTTTCTTAGAGGAATAAGCCTTGTGCATACATCGAGTGCCACCGAGTTAATCTGTTCTAGGCATAAGTTGGGGTCTTTGTTGCTTAGTATATCTTCCCAGCTTATATCGGTTAGGACTTGGTTTACTTGGTCCCACTTTATGTTTTTGTTATTGAAGTTGAATTTGGTGAATGCTCCCTCGTGACTAGTCTCATTATGTCGGTCTGGGGCTCTGCGCATACATGTCTGAACCTCAATTATGTTGTGATCTGAGTATACTGTTTTTGATATGGTGACATTTCGTATCAGATCATCATTGTTAGTGAAGATGACGTCTAGTGTATTCTCCAGTCTAGTAGGCTCTATTATTTGCTGGTTTAAATTGAATTTTGTGCAGAGATTTAAAAGCTTGTGTGAATGTGAGTTTTCATCAGAGCTGCCTCCTGGTGTTATTACTGCAACAATATTATTTGCTATATTCCTCCATTTTAGGTGCCTTAAGCTGAAATCCCCCAGGAGCAAGATGTTGGGTGCAGGAGCTGGCAGATTTTCCAGACAGTAGTCAATTTTTAACAGCTGTTCCTGGAATTGCTGGGATGATGCATCCGGAGGCTTGTAGACTACCACAATGACTAGGTTTTGGTTCTCGATCTTTACTGCTAAAACTTCCACATCATTTGAGGCACTAAGCAGTTCTGTGCAAACAAGTGACTCTGCAATGTACAGGCCAACCCCCCCCCCCCCACCCTTTTGCCTGTTCATTCTGTCGCATCTGTATAGGCTGTAACCTGGGATCCATATTTCGTTGTCCAAGTGATCCTTTATGTGGGTCTCAGTGAAAGCCGCGAACACTGCCTTTGCCTCTGCAAGCAGTCCATGGATGAAAGGTATTTTGTTGTTTGTTGCTGGCTTTAGACCCTGTATATTTGCAAAGAAGAATGTCATTGGACTGGTGGTATTGTTGGCACTGGGGGGGATTTTTTTTCCGGCATTAGTATCTGTATCTGTTGGTTTGGAGTGGAGGCCATCGACTGTGGTTCCACTCCAGGAATGACTGGATTTGGTGTACATTTCTGCCATTTCCTGCCAGTTTTTTTTTCCTTCCTGGCACTAAAAAACCTCTCCCTCTTGAGTGGCTGTGGCTACCCAGGTTTTCCCATGGCCTGGATGTTTTGTATCTTTTTGTCCCCTTTAGATGGTGTGCCTGGCAATTTAAGTTATAGAGCAGTCTTTCCTGTACTGAAGAGGTACACATTTCAGGGTGTAAAAGCTTACAGGAAGGGAGTTTGCATTTTCCTGTTGTCATATGGGCACGGCATTTTCTAGGGTGGTCATAGTTGCACGTCCCATCTGTTTTTTCCAGATTTCCCATGCCTGCAGATACCAAGTGCACAGTATGTGCACAGGCCTGGTTTCTGTTTGCCTTGGGTTTCTGTGACTGTATTCCCTGTTGGTGCATGTTTACCTGTCTTATTCCTATCCTCCCTAGCACCAACAATGGAGCTCCCACCAGTTGTTTTTGGTAATATATCCTCACTATTGCTAGTGGAGTCCTCTTGTTTGCTATTTCCTGTGGTATTTCTAGTTTGCAATATTGGTTTTATCTTATCTTTGACTACACTTGTTTCCCCACTACGGCTCCTGTCTCCCACGAGGTCATTTATATGCATTCCTTCCTGCGTATAATTCCTGACTACCTGGACAAAATCTCCAGCTTCACCATTACTGTCTCCCAGGACAGCACCTCCAGCTTCACCATTACTGTCTACCAGGACAGCAATATCAGCCCCACATTTACTGACTACCAGGACATCACCTCCAGCCTTACAGTTTCTGACTACATGGCCAGTATCAAGGGCAGTACCATTCAGCCCAGACTTTTTATGTTCCCATCTGTTGTAGAAAGCTTCCAGGTTGTCTATGAAAGCAGCTTTGATGTTATCCTCTCTTAATACCAATGTGATTTTAGTCCACAGATTTATCTCATTTGGGCATACCCAAAAACACTTCCCTGTTTTAATACTGCTTGTAGCTAGTTCTTGGATACCTGCACAAGGATCTTCTTCTATTTTCTTACTAATTCTTGTTCTTGTTTATTTCCTCTTATCTCCATGGGGAAATGGAATAGAATTCTTCCTTCATAAGCCATGCGTGTTGTAAGAGGTGACTAAAATGCCGGAAGCAAGAGGTTGGTAACCCCTTCTCCTGTGTATATTACTAAATGTAAAAGGAGAAACTTTCGTTTTTCCTTTTGGGCCACCCTGCCTCGGTGGGATACGGCTGGTGTATTGAAAGAAGATATATATAGTATATAAAATATATATACGTATATGGAGGTGGAAGTACATTGCCTGCTCTTTACTGGATGGGTTTGGGATATTTGTTGCTTAGAGTGACATCTAAACTGTCATACATGTGCACCTCTGGCAAGACAGTGAGTGTGTGAATGATGGTGAAAGTGTTTCTTTTCTGGGTCACCCTGCCATGCTGGAAGACAGCCAGCATGTTAGAAAAAAAAAAGTTTGCTTTGAAGGATGAGTTATATGTTTTATATTCAAGATATTACTAAGTTGAGTAAAAATACACATGCCTCTGATATATAAATTCAGCAATTAACTCATAGCCAGTGAAATGAAAGACATAATTTATGCATGTCACACTCACTGTGCCTCATTAAATTCCAGGCTAGCAACTTCTATTTGGTCTCGAAGAATAGACACATCAGAAGACAAAAGCAAATCCAACTTGGCCAATTCTGACTGTATTTGCTTCAACTTTTGTGCTTCAGACTGTGTGCGACGACTCCTGTAATGTAGTTGCCATTTAAAGTTGCAGTACAGTACAGTGATTAATATAGTAATAGCAGCAATTTGAAACAGAAAAGCATAATTTCACACATTTATGAGTTTAGATAAAAAAATTACACAAAAACCAAAATAAAAGTACAGTATTATACTACAATCTAATTCTACTTATATTGTAAAGAATTATGAACATTGGTTTCTAACCCTGCAATACATTTCTTTGTCTAAATTCTAGCTTAAGTATGCCCGAAATGGTATGCATAACGATGAACTGTTATATAACTGTTCATATAAACTGTTAACCCAATGTTTCATTTAATTTTAATATCTATGTACCATGTAAATACAATTTTTTTTTTTTTTTTTTTATCACACTGGCCGATTCCCACCAAGGCAGGGTGGCCCGAAAAAGAAAAACTTTCACCATCATTCACTCCATCACTGTCTTGCCAGAAGGGTGCTTTACACTACAGTTTTTAAACTGCAACATTAACACCCCTCCTTCAGAGTGCAAGCACTGTACTTCCCATCTCCAGGACTCAAGTCCGGCCTGCCGGTTTCCCTGAACCCCTTCATAAATGTTACTTTGCTCACACTCCAACAGCACGTCAAGTATTAAAAACCATTTGTCTCCATTCACTCCTATCAAACACGCTCACGCATGCCTGCTGGAAGTCCAAGCCCCTCGCACACAAAACCTCCTTTACCCCCTCTCTCCAACCTTTCCTAGGCCGACCCCTACCCCGCCTTCCTTCCACTACAGACTGATACACTCTTGAAGTCATTCTGTTTCGCTCCATTCTCTCTACATGTCCGAACCACCTCAACAACCCTTCCTCAGCCCTCTGGACAACAGTTTTGGTAATCCTGCACCTCCTCCTAACTTCCAAACTACGAATTCTCTGCATTATATTCACACCACACATTGCCCTCAGACATGACATCTCCACTGCCTCCAGCCTTCTCCTCGCTGCAACATTCATCACCCATGCTTCACACCCATATAAGAGCATTGGTAAAACTATACTCTCATACATTACCCTCTTTGCCTCCAAGGACAAAGTTCTTTGTCTCCACAGACTCCTAAGTGCACCACTCACTCTTTTCCCCTCATTAATTCTATGATTCACCTCATCTTTCATAGACCCATCCGCTGACACGTCCACTCCCAAATATCTGAATACATTCACCTCCTCCATACTCTCTCCCTTCAATCTGATATTCAATCTTTCATCACCTAATCTTTTTGTTATCCTCATAACCTTACTCTTTCCTGTATTCACCTTTAATTTTCTTCTTTTGCACACCCTACCAAATTCATCCACCAATCTCTGCAACTTCTCTTCAGAATCTCCCAAGAGCACAGTGTCATCAGCAAAGAGCAGCTGTGACAACTCCCACTTTGTGTGTGATTCTTTATCTTTTAACTCCACGCCTCTTGCCAAGACCCTCGCATTTACTTCTCTTACAACCCCATCTATAAATATATTAAACAACCACGGTGACATCACACATCCTTGTCTAAGGCCTACTTTTACTGGGAAATAGTTTCCCTCTTTCCTACATACTCTAACTTGAGCCTCACTATCCTCGTAAAAAACTCTTCACTGCTTTCAGTAACCTACCTCCTACACCATACACTTGCAACATCTGCCACACTGCCCCCTATCCACCCTGTCATACGCCTTTTCCAAATCCATAAATGCCACAAAGACCTCTTTAGCCTTATCTAAATACTGTTCACTTATATGTTTCACTGTAAACACCTGGTCCACACACCCCCTACCTTTCCTAAAGCCTCCTTGTTCATCTGCTATCCTATTCTCCGTCTTACTCTTAATTCTTTCAATAATAACTCTACCATACACTTTACCAGGTATACTCAGCAGACTTATCCCCCTATAATTTTTGCACTCTCTTTTATCCCCTTTGCCTTTATACAAAGGAACTATGCATGCTCTCTGCCAATCCCTAGGTACCTTACCCTCTTCCATACATTTATTAAATAATTGCACCAACCACTCCAAAACTATATCCCCACCTGCTTTTAACATTTCTATCTTTATCCCATCAATCCCGGCTGCCTTACCCCCTTTCATTTTACCTACTGCCTCACGAACTTCCCCCACACTCACAACTGGCTCTTCCTCACTCCTACAAAATGTTATTCCTCCTTGTCCTATACACGAAATCACTATTATCATTATTATTAAAATATAAACATACCCTGTCACAGAAATAAATATAGACTATGGTACAGTATAGTGGAAACAGAATATGTATGTTAGTGAAAAAATGTGCATGTTAGTGAAAAAATGTGTATGTTAGTGAAAACGGGTAGACATGCTTTGCATGTCTACCTGTTTTCCATCATTTCCTCTGCTTTCTAGTTCTTTACTCCAATATACTCATTCCCTTTTTAATAAAACTAACCATTCATCAGAAAACAAAGAAAAACTCATTATCTGCTGTTAGTTTCTCAAAATACTGTCATCTCCTGTGAATTTTCATCTTTTTTTTACCAACTGTTTGTTCTGTTTACATATTTTTTATACAAATGTACTTTTTATAGGTTTAGACCTGTTATCCTGATTAATTTATTTCAAGGTCTGGCTCTAGCTATGATACACTACCCACAACAGTCAGCTAGCACCCAGCTACCTTTGTTCTAAGTAAATATGTAATGGGTGTAAGGAGACTTACCTATATGTCTGGCCCTTTCCTAGGATTGCACCCAGGGCCCTTTGGTGATACCCTGAATGTTCTGATTAATAAACTAAAACTCACCCTGTACCTCTCAATTATATGATTCAAAGATCTTTACACTCGACACTCCTGTAACATACAGTAATCATTCAGATTATCCATTGCTACTGTTCTAAATTTTGATTTTCATGCTCACTTATGTTGTCTCACTCCCTCTCCAAATAATGAAGTTGAAACAATCATTCTTTCTAACTACTACTGTACTTATGGTGTCTTCTTCCTAACCAGGGTTTTTATTTCATTAGTTGCTTTCTTTTCCTAGTTCATTGTACTTTCAGCTTCACGCTTATGTATTTCTTTTTTCGTCACTTACACATCACAGATACTGCATATAAACTGGTCAAGAGATTCCAGCACTTCTCTAAACACAATAACTGTACACAAAATTCCTTCTTTCTTCACTATCCTTAATTTATTTTCATTCATATGGATTTTTCCTTTTGTCTATGCTATGGTTCACCTCACCTTTCATAGATCCGTCAGTTGACACGTCTACTCCCAAATATTTTCATACTGTATATCTTTTCCTCCATACTCCCTCACTCCAATCTTAAGTCCCATTTTTTGCCTAAATTTTTTTGTTGCTCTCAAGAGTAAGGTGATGATAAGCACAATGTGTGCACTCTGAAAGAGTGGGGATACTACACTCACTACGGTCTGTAGGGCTATTAAAACTGTGATGTATGTGCACTCCTGACAAGACAGCTTTTGAATGAATAATGGTGAATATTTCCTTAACTTTGGTGGAAGACAAGAAAAAAATAATTAAATAATCATTTTGCATTAACTTTTAACAGTCTTTTCTCACACACATCAAAAACACCTACTATCCTACATAAAATTTTAATTCTCTAATGTTAGAGTTGTCATCTACATATACAATATCAAGCTTAATATCTCACCCCATTTGTTTCTATCCTGCCTAAACATCACAAACTAATTGTTTCATGATCACTCTTTAACATTAATCATGTATGCATACTGAAAAAACAGGAAATATTGCAGAATTTTTGTACGCTAACATTTTTTCAGATTACTTACTTGCTACATATACTCTGCATCCTTAAGAATGCTTACTATACACTTTAAAAAAAGGTGACCTGGCTTCATATAGGATTAGCACTTCCCACAGTCCATCTCCATTCATTGTCACACAGTCAACCCCAAAACTATTGTACAGGACATGTAAAAGCTAGTCTTATATACAGTACATAGTTAACAAGCTGTCTCACTGCAAATATCTGGTAGAAACCTCTTCCAAATGCAAAATAAAAATTTTGACTTCCTGAAACCCGATACTGTATACTGAATTCAGACACCACATATTCTTCAAATAATCTGCAACCCTTTCCAATAACCTTTGCATTACAGTTACAAATATCAACATACCTATCTGCAATAGCCTTAACAAGTAACTCTCGCCGTTGTTTATTTTGCTCCTCCATCATTTTTTGACGTTTCTGGAACTTTTCAAGTGACAGCTCCCCATCTTTTTCACAGTTTTCATTAAGCAGATTTTCTTCTAACAAGTCATCAGATTCAGTCTTTGAACCAAATGGCTGGTCTTCCAGAATTGATCCATTTGTTGATATTAATTCATATGAGTTATTGTCTCGAAGGCGTATTTTAACATTCTTAGCATGACTACCTGTAAACATTAGAAAATTACCGTAAAATAATAATAAGCTTGAATAAAACCTATTCAAAAAAATATTGATTCAAGAAATGTTGTGTACCACTATCAAAATGTTTCTGCAAAAATTTGCTATTAATATTTCTATTCTTAATATTATTCTGTAAAACCCATTAACCCTTTCAGGGTCCGTGCCATAGATCTATAGCTTCATGTTCAGGGTCCAAACCGTAGATCTACGCCATGAGCTCAGCTCACTCTGATAAGCAGTGAGCAGTAAATTTGGGCCTAGATATGAGAGACTACATCTATGTGGTATGTGTGCACCACATAAAACAAATCCTGCAGCACACAGTGCATAATGAGAGAAAAAACTGGGACCGTAATTTTCGATTAAAACAGCGAATTTGCAGTGTTTTTTCATATGTTTTTTATAGTTGCATTTGCAATTTATTGGTTTCATTTGATAGAATGGAAGGTATACTACAGAAATAGAGATGATTTTGATTGGTTTTATTAAGGGAAACGGCTTGAAACTGAGCTCAAAGTAGCGGAAATGTTAAATTTTTGCCGATGTTCAAGAGTAAACAAATGACCTCACAAGTCTAATACATGCCAGCTGGTGGGTCTAATATACATTCACAAATGTGGTGATATTATTTATACAATTATTACAGTATTGCTCAACAGTAAATCTTCTATTTTTTGGTTTGAATAAAAATTCATTATGTGAATAAACAATCAAAATGGAATTCATTTGTAAAGCCTGAAAACATAACTAATGAACAGAGGAAATGTTAGTTTAGTGCCAGGAATGCCTGCATTGTTTATTCTGGACCCTATTTTGAAATTGGAATATTTTGAACTTTGTGTTAAATTGGCCAAATTACCAATTTCCAATCACTTTGTTTTGTTGTTGACACAGGTGACTTGGCGATTTCTTGTGCTCAATCGATAGAATAGAAGTAATACTAGTGAAATAGCTAAGAATTTGGTTGACTGGAATACTGTAATTGGCCTAAAATGGGAGTCAATGTCGGCAAAATTGCCAATGCGTAAATATCACCGACACATCAAAATTCGCGAGAGCATAATTTCCTCAATTTTCCATCAAATTTCGTAGTTTTTGTTTTATTACCTTCAGAAAAAGATTCTCTACCATTTCATAAGAAAAAATAACAAAATTATTTTTTGAAAATTCTTGGACCCTGGTGAACACTTCGAAATTTGGCCTCTGGACCCTGAAAGGGTTAAACAATAAAAATATGACATACAGCATAAAACATGACCCATCATTCCTGTTTCAATGCTGATAATCTATGAGGTCAAGTCCTTAAAGTTACACACCCAATTATCTACCTTGATTCAATACATATTAACACAATGGAGAGAGTGGGCATAAAATACCCTTTCAGGGTCCAGAGGCCAAATTTCAAAGGATGCACCAGTGTCCAAAAATTAAAAAAAAAAAATTTTGCTATTTCTTTCTTATGAAATGGTAGAGAATCTTTTTCTGAAAGTAATAAAACAAAAAGTACGAAATTTGATGGAAAATTGACGAAATTATGCTCTCGCGAATTTTGATGTGTCAGCGATATTTACGAATCGGCGATTTTGCCGACTTTGACTCCGATTTTAGGCCAATTACATTATTCCAGTCGACCAAATTCTTAGCTATTTCACTAGTATTGCTTCTATTTTATCGATTGAGAAGAAGAAATCGCCCAGTCAACTGTTTCAACTACAAAATAAAGGGATCGGAAATTGGTAATTTGGCCAATTTCAAAATAGGGTCCAGAATAAACAATGCAGGCATTCCTGGCACTAAACTAACATTTCCTCTGCTCATTAGTTATGTTTTGAGGCTTTACAAATGAATTCCATTTTTATTTTTTATTCACATAATGAATTTTTATTCAAACCAAACAATAGAACATTCACTGTTATGCATTATTGTAATAATTGTATAAATATCATCATCACATTTGTGAATGTATATTAGACCCACCAGCTGGCGTGTATTAAACGTGTGAGGTCGTTTGTTTACTCTTGAACATCGACAAAAATTTAACATTTCTGCTACTTTGAGCTCAGTTTCAAGCCATTTCCAGTATAAAAACCAATCAAAATCATCTCTACTTCTGTAATTTATCTTCCATTCTATCAAATGAGACCAAGGAATCTTAAATACAACTATAAAAAGCATACGAAAAAACACTGCAAAGTCGCTGTTTTAATCGAAAATCACGGTCTCAGTTTTTCTCTCATTATACACTGTGTGCTGCAGGATTTGTTTTATGTGATGCACACATACCACATAAATATATTCTCTCATATCTAGGCCCAAATTTACTGCTCACCGCTTATCAGAGTGAGCTGAGCTCATGGCGTAGATCTACGGTTTGGACCCTGAACGTAAAGCCGTAGATCTACGGGACGGACCCTGAAAGGGTTAAAAAAAAAAGAGACAAATATAGTATTATATGATCATTTACTGACAACATTTCACCCACACAGTTGACTTTATCATGTTACAAACAGATCTACCTGATAAGAGAGGCTGAGTCTATAGTGTATATGGTGAGTGTAGGGACTAATTCTAAATTAGTCTTTAAGCATTAGGATTAGTTTACCCGAAATACACTGCATACTAGTGGTTTTCTTTTGTACCTAACAATGTTTTACTAGATGTACACTACATTATTTTTGTGCTGCATGAAAAGAAATAAAAATATGAATTTGAATTTGGAAAGAGACATAAATGATGTATAATGTGATCCTTTATTGACAACCTTTAACCCAACACAGTAGGCTTGATCACGTCACACAGAGATCTCTTCATGACTTGATAAAGTATGCTGTATGGACAAAAATGTTGTCAATAAAGAAATGCACTATACAGCACAGTAGGGCCCTGCTTTACTGTGTTTTGCTTTACAACTTTCCGCTAATACAGACATTTGAAATCAGAGTGGACCCCAGGTTTTCATAATTAATCCATTCCAGAGAGAGTGACTCAACCCGAATCTGACAATTTCCAAATTAATTTTCCCCATAAGAAATAACGTAAATCCAATTAATCCATTCCAGACACCCGAATGTATTAACAAAAATTATTTTTTTATAAATTAAATATAGATTTACATACAGAAAAGAATGAGAAATCGAGTATAAAACAATAATATCACATTTACCTTTAATGAAGACTCTTGTTGGTGTATGGAAGATGGGAGGAGGGGAGAGGGTTAGGGCGATGTTCCTCCACAAATGTTTGCACCTCACTCCACTTTGCACAAATGTCCGTAATCTTTGAAGAAGGCACCTTCTTCCTTCTTTCTTTCTCCTCCTCTGAAGCAATTTCCTCAGCTGGTGTACATAAGAACATAAGAAAGCAGGAACACTGCAGCAGGCCTGTTGGCCCATACTAGGCAGGTCCTTCACAAACCATCCTACCAACAGAATCATATTTGCCCAACCCAATTTTCAATGCTTCCCAAGCAATAAGCTTTGATAATTCTATTCACTCATGTGCAAGTCCCACCCAAATCAAATCATGTGTGGGGGGAAGTACTCTGGCTGGTGTGTGGGGAAGTACCCTGGCTGGTGTGTGGGATAGTATCCTGGTTGGTTTGCAGGGAAGTGCCCTAGCTGGTGTGTGGGGAAGTGCCCTGGCTGGTGTGTGTGGGGAAGTACCCTGGCTGGTGTACATAAGAAAGCAGGAACACTGTAGCAGACCTGTTGGCCCATTCTAGGCAGGTCCTTCACAAACCATCCCACTAACAAAATATTTATCCAACCCAATTTTCAATGCTACCCAAGCAATGAGCTTTGATAATTCTATTCACTCATGTGCAAGTCCCACTCAAATCAAATCGTGTGTGGGGGGAAGTATCCTGTCTGGTGTGTGGGGAAGTACCCTTTCTGTAGACAGCCTGTACTGTCTGCATAGACAGCCTATTGCTTGTGCTGCCACCTTTAGGCCTATGCCACTTCAGTATGTCCAGACCTGCCTCTCACTCTCTCAGCAGCCTTCACTCAGTCAACAAGGCCTATTCCTCTCTCCCTCGATGAAGATTGAGACACTTATGCAGCATATGGGAATGCTGCATAAGTGTCTCAATCTTCAACTTGTCGGTTTTTCAAACCATTCATCACATCCTCTCTCCCTCGCCGGGCATGGCCCTCCTGGGCCATGGGCACTTACACACTTCCTGTGTACCCCACAACATTGCAAATAAAGTAAGAAGCCTTCGAAGCCTTATCATTCACTCACCGCAATCAAGAATCAATAATAAACTCGTAAACATTGGTGACAGCGGTGGTCGCAGCAGTTGTGTTGCCCGAGGAGGGAAGGAAGAGGAATGAAGTTGTCTTCACTTCATCACCCCACACTAGAAGCATCTGTCTCTCAGTGAGTTATCCTGATGTCGTGTTTGTACGTTTCAGCATCCAGACACAGGTACACACAGGATCCAGGCCGAAATTTGCCAAATTTCTTCGACTCCTGGGACTCCATGCCACAGCGCCCCACACTGCTTCTCAAGTCACATGTTCAGCATCACTTGTATGTTGCTGCTGTTGTTTTTCAGCTCAGCATGGCTATTTCAGCAAGTCAGAAGTGAGTTTGTGGCAATTTCAGTGTCCAGTGTGGGTGTTTCTCCAAGTGGGTATGTGGGAGAGGAAGCGGCTGGGTTCTTCGCCTCACTCACACCTCACCTGCCTTCCACCACACTACACCACAATGCCATCACTCTCTCTGCTGTTCTCCATGTGAATTCAATGCCAGAGCTGTGTATCCGAGTGCCCGAGGCCACTTGAAGCCACGTGGATCACCAAGCCATATGGATCACCAAGCCATGTGGATCAGCAAGCCATGTAGATCACAAAGCCATGTGGGGTGTGGATGATGCCACGTGAATCTACAAACCACGTGGGTTACCAAGCCAGACGTCTCAAGCCACATGCTGTGGTCTGCTGCTGCATCACTCCACTGACGTCATCTTATGATGTCACCC